TTCTGATCTGTTGCTACAATTAATTGTAGCACAGCACGGCATCTTCTCTTTTTGAAGCACTGAAAATTGAAGTCTATGAAACAAAATATTTTTTATATACTTTTTTTCCTATATGTATGTAATTTAAATGTAAGTGAAACATATTTTTAAAAGATAATATTATTGCTGTATATATTTTAAGTAATGATACAAATAATATGTAACTTTTGTGAATAATGCAAGTCAATAAGAAGTTATGTTTTATAGGTTTTATGATAGTAATAAGTAAAATAATTAATTCTGTTGCGTAAAATATGATTTTAGAAATGATTACAAGTAAACGTTAAAATAAGAAATTGTAAACTTTACAGTACTATGATCGTTCTATTTATATACAAAAAGAATAAACATACCTTCAATTTTTGCAAGACAAAGCCCAAAAATCTTTGTAGCGAGCTTAGAAATTTTTATTGAAAATGTATTTTTCAATATGTTTTCAGACAGATATTAATAGTTGTTTACGACTATTAAATGACTATTAAACGATTTCAATAAAATTTCTTCTTCATTCATTCACAAATAATTAAAAAAATTGCAAAAAATAACGATAAAACCTTCAGACTAACACTCACTACATACGTTTTTTTAAAACTTCCGCTCACTCGAGGAGTGAAAATGGCGGATGAGAGTACTCATCTCTATAGTGCTCTACCGACGTGATACACTAGCGCCTTTTCTCCCTATACGAGAACCAGACCAGTTAAGTTCTAGTATAATTAAGGCACTATCCGCGGTATTCATTTTCTAATATAGCTTCTATAAATTCGGTTCTATTAGTGGTAATATTCCAAACATAATACTGTTTTTGTCAAATCTGTATAGCTTTTTAAATTCAACATCTAAATAAAAATCAAAAGGATCTTGTATATCTCGAATATAGCGTTTTGGAGCACGTATAATTATATCTTCATTATCTGAATCAATATCAATATTATCATCAACATTGATGTTATGTAATTCCAAAAAATCCATTCTTTACTTAATTGTTTTCACAACTTTTTCAAATTAATTAATTTTTAATTGAAATTGATTTGAATAAATTTAAATTATGATTAATTGATTAACTTTAAACTATCACTTAAACCTTATTTTTGAATTATTATTTATTAATTTTTGATTATTATTTATTATTATCAATTAATTATCCTAACCTCAATGTTAACTGAGATGGTCTTAAGTCTACTAAAATGTTGACTTGAAAAAAACTCTCATTTTGAGTAAAAAGTAAGGTTATTAAGATGATCTTATTTGACTATGAATTCATAAACTGTTTGTAATTCTTAAGATCGTCTTAAGCGATGACTATGAATATCTATCCAATTGCACATCTTGGCTAATATCAAACTTTTAAGCATATCTTAAGATTGCGTCTATGAATGTGAACGCTAGCTTAAGACCATGCTTAAGGCGGACTTCAGTATAAGAGTGCACTATGAATACCGCGGTCCGCGGCTGGTATCTATCCTCCGTGGTAACGACTGTGGTATGGGAGACATATGTTCTGAGGGGTTAAGTAAAGATAAAAATATGTAGGAAGGAAAACAATAGTTACTGGAGTATCAAAAATAAAATTTACAAATTAATTAGAAATGTGATAAATTAGTATAAAACGTAATTCTCATGAACATATGTTGTACTTATTAAAACTTATAAGAAAATAGAATACTTTAAAATTACATAACTAGGAAGGATTACTTTCTATAGAATTTTCTATAAAAATACATATTTCTTCATAACTAAAATGACACTCAATTATAGCTCGAGGAATTTTCTATCAAAAAGTGTTTCATATTAAATTGATCAATGCCCAATAAATGACGAAATTGACATATACAATGATAATTGATCATTATATTATACAATAAGAGTGTCACGAATCACGATAGTCATGAACTTAAATAGAACTCAATTGAAAATTTGTATTCAAGGACCATTTGTGAAGATTCAAAGATATCAATAACTATATTATGACTATTTTAGTTTATTAAATATAAGAATTATTGAAAATTTTATATAATTTTTAAAACGATGATTTTGTTTGTTATTTTTTTTTTAAGTAGAAAAAACATACAATCTTTATTTATCAAATAGAACAATTTCTGCTGTTGGAGTATTGTTGTATTTACGTAAAAGACGGTGACGCACGAAATAAAGTTATATATGCATAATACAATGAATTGTGTTGACCACCAATACGAAAAGGTCATTGCAAATGATGATTGGGTAATATTCCTAATTCAAACGAACGGAATGAGTTCGCATAAAAGAGTAAAATCATAACCAAATTCTACCAGATGGGTTGCGTCTCATTTAAACCGCGGTTCTTGTGAATTTTCTTATTCGTAAACGTGCTCTTATATAGAAATAAAAAACTAATTAATTTAAAAACTATAGATTATTTAAATATCAGAAATCTTACTATTTCTATATAAATATTCGCATTTTTATTAAATTTTTTTTATTGCTACACAATATGGTAAATAACAGCAACTTTCTTCTCCTTAATTCCCAAAAAGTAAGTATTTTTATTTGTTAGATAATCGCCTTAATATTTAATTTTAATTCTTTTATAAACTATTATCTGTAAAACGAAATAGTACATTCCTATTATATAAATATGGAACTGAATTTATAAATATTTTAATTTGAAAAAAGAAATATATTTATTAGATTTAAAATACATAAAAAAGAGATTATCAATTAATATAGAAAATTAATTAATATAGATGATTACCTATAATAAAAAAGAGATTACGATTCATTGTGAAATCAAAATTTAAAAAGATAAGCCATGTAATTAATATAAATATTTAAGTATTATTAAGCGCTCATTATTACGATTACTTAAATATTTTAAGTATCTTTTTATTAATTTTTACGGTTTTTTGAAATGTCTTGTATAAATTTTTACATAAATACATATATTAAATATTTTTTGCTAAGAAATATGTCAAATTTGCCATTAATTGTTAAATTCTTTTTCAACATACGTAATAATGAATTATATTTGTTGATCCGTTTTAACCACACAGGAAAAAGAAAATTAAAAAAAAATAAAAATGAAGTACTTATGGTTAAAAAAATAATTGGAAAATTCACGCAGTCTCAAATAGGATTAGAGTTTCGAAATATAGAAATTAGTGATGGAATTCCCCAGTAATATTCGATGTTTTTACGTATGATAGTAAAGCGATTTCAATTTATCGAAAGTACGAGCCCGAGTTTAACACTTCAATACTATGGTGTAGAGAGATTCTCTCACACCATTTTTAATAGTTTTTTTTCTTTCTAATTTTAAAAGGAATGACCCCTTGAAAATTTTTTTACCTTCCTAAAATTTAATGTTTTACAAGATAGTGACAAAAATTTTTTATTTAAACTTGAAAAATAAAGAAAAAAAATTATTTATTCATCGACTGTAAGAGTTTCTCGCGTAAGTAAAGTCAAGTAAAAAAAAAATTTCTATTCGGATGTTTCTGTTTTATTTCGGCTGTCTCCGTAGTTTCTAGCCGCTATCTTGAATATATATATATATATAGATATACGAATACCTAGTATTTTAAAAGTTGTGTTTACAAGTGTACCAGTATTTTTAAATGATAATGACATATTTATTATGTCCTCGTCCGAAATTAGATAATTTTTAATTTAATAATATTAATATTTAATATATATTATTCAACAAAATAATATTTGATATTGTATTGTACTTGATATACACATAACCTAAAATTATTTTCGTAGAATTTAAATTTTGCTCTTGGCGCATGAGCAATAGGCGTGAGAGTATCTCTCATCATGATAGTAACGACTGTGGTACGGGAGACGTATGTTCTGAAGTGTTAAAGTCAGTCACTTACCAGCTGTTCGATTGTGTACGATTATCAAATCTCGTGTTTCGTGTTCTCTTTACTTTCGAATTGCTTGGCTATCAGCCACGAATCACGACCTCATTTTATTCATGAAGATATTTGAATAACATTTATCACATACGAATCTTTCTTTCTTCTTTCTCTGATTTCAGCTGATACGAAAGTGCATTCAATACAGAAGTTCTATTCACATTACTAATACCTCTAAAGGTAAAGAAAATGTATTCTTTTTATATTAAATGATATTCTGTATAATTACGTTTTCTTACTTTCTCTTGTCACTTCCATATATACCTACATCTTTTTAATTCTATCTTATAAAAATAATTTGTTATTATTTACGATATCGCTCATGTAGATATTCTCAAAATCACGAAATTTTATAAACATATTTAATAATATAATATTGCGCTATTGAACACGCATTTGGGCATTTTCACGACGAAATATTGAATTTTATGGATATATTTGATGGTATAATATTGTATCATTATGTTACTGACATGTACATATGAACAATTTTTTTATTAACTTAGTTTATATTAAACTATAATTTTCAATTATTTATTATTGATTAAGTTTCCAGACTATATTTTATAAAAGTTGATTTCTTTCAGCACAAACGAGAAATATGCCCTGTCCATTTTTAACTCGCTTATCAGCCAATTATGTACGTAACTATGGAACATCTGTAATAATGAATTATCGTCAACACTGTCCAGTAATGTCTCGTTTATCCAGTACATTAGCAGGAAACACGGCTGAAGCACAGATATCTGAATCTATAGAAAATCATTGTCCATTTCTTGCTAAAGAACCAGATACAATAAAAGAGGCAAGTCTGACAGTAGAGGAAGATATTATTGATCTTACCACTAAAGAAAAAACTAAAGAAAAACCTAAAGAAGAAACTAATTTTCCTTATCAAGAGTATTTCCATGAACAAATTATGAAAAAGAAAAAAGATCATTCGTACAGGATCTTCAAAAAAGTAAATCGTTTGGCTGAGCAATTTCCAGCTGCAATGGAATATTCCTGGGGCGAGAAACCTATCACAGTATGGTGTTCTAATGATTATTTAGGCATGTCTCGTCATCCAGCTGTAATTAAATCTGTTCGAGAAGCCTTGGATAAATTTGGTGCAGGCGCAGGTGGGACTCGTAACATATCTGGAAATTCCATGGGTCATGAAAAATTGGAGAAAAGACTTGCTTCTTTGCATCAGAAAGAAGCTGGATTATTATTCACTTCATGTTTTGTAGCTAATGATTCAACATTGTATACATTGGCTAAACTTTTACCAAATTGCCATATATTTTCTGATGCTGCTAATCATGCTTCTATGATACATGGTATATGTAATAGTCGTGTACCTAAACATATCTTTAGACACAATGATGTCAAACATCTGGAAGAGCTTCTATGTAAAGTTGATAAAAATATACCAAAAATTGTAGCATTTGAAACAGTACATTCCATGACAGGTGATATATGCCCTTTAGAAGAATTATGTGATATCTCACACAAATATGGTGCTTTAACATTTGTGGATGAAGTTCATGCAGTGGGCTTATATGGATACTCTGGTGCCGGCATCGGAGAAAGAGATTGGGTTCTTGACAAAATGGATATAATATCTGGTACACTTGGAAAAGCTTTCGGCAATGTGGGTGGCTACATTGTTGCTTCTTCTAAACTTATTGATATGATTAGAAGCTATGCAGCAGGATTTATTTTCACTACTTCATTGCCACCAACTGTTCTGTATGGAGCATTAACATCTATTGAAATTTTGGCATCAGATGAAGGAAGGTCTTTAAGAACTAGTCATCAAACAAATGTGGCCTATATGAAATCTATTCTTACTACTGCTGGACTTCCATTGGAACCTTCGCCTTCTCATATTATTCCATTAAAAGTAACTTTATTACTATGTATTGTAATGTTGTAACACATGTTTTTCTAAGATTATTTCATTTTTATTTTACAGGTAGGTGATCCATTATTATGTAGTCAAATAGCTGATATGCTAATACGAGACAAAGGACATTATGTTCAAGCTATAAATTATCCTACGGTTCCAAAAGGTGAAGAAAAATTAAGACTAGCACCAACGCCAAAGCATACAAAAGCGATGATGGATCAGTTTCTAAGAGATACACTGGATGTATTTCATCATTTAAATATTCCTATAATTGAATCTAAATCTAATGAAATGGCACGTGCAATATTAGTTCATTGACAAATGTATATATTAATATAATGTAAAGATTTCTTATCGTACAAACAAAAACTGTTAAAAGATGAAAGTTTATTTATGTGGATACATATAATGTTTTTAGAAAGTTCAAATCGTAAGATTTGTTCAAAAAATAAACGGATTTAATTAAATCTATTAACTTAAAATAAATAGTTACAAAAATTTTAAATTATTTATTCTCCTTTTCTATTTTATACTATTTTTTATATTAAAAAGTATAAATTTATATAAAAAAAGAATCTATTGTTTTATTACATGTGTCACACGTTATCAGTATTATATATGTTATCAGTTACAACTTAAATTATACGCATGCGTATTTTGAACGTAATTGTCGTCTGCATCTCTCAAGAGTCTGATTTATAATAATTTAATTTTCACTTATTATAAAAATCATTAACTAAAGCTGTTCGAAATAAAATTTGTTCTAAGAGAATGCACATTATTAAAATTTTGCCTAAGCCACATTGTTCTTTGAGAAAACCATAAGTTGTGTTATGATTGATGTATTAAAGTGAGGTTAAAATGAGAATTTTTTTAAACATTTTGAAAATGTTCATTGCGTTTCTCTCCGATTACGCACGTGGCTTGTCTTATACTGTCACTACGATTTTAATTTTATGTTATTGTTTACATCCGGCAAGATTTGCTTCGCATTATACATTTATAAAATCTGAAGATATTTATGATGAAATGGAAAGATCATATCCACCAAGAGATAACTCTTGTTCGATTTCAATAAATAATGAACGGTCTTCACATTTACTATATCCAGAGGAACATCTACGAGAAGACCCAATTGCTATGGCACGTCGTTTAGGAATCCTTCCTGGAGGACAATGGAAACCATTGAATTGCCATCCTCTTTTTAACGTTGCTATTATCTTACCATACCGCAACCGGCAAACGCAGCTTGCTATCTTTATGAATTATATACATCCTTTCTTACAGGCACAGAATCTGAATTACAGAATATTTGTGATAGAACAAAGTCCTATGCGAGAATTTAATCGTGCCAAATTGTTTAATGTCGGATATGCAGAGGCAACAAAAATTAACGATTTTCATTGTTTTATATTTCAAGATATAGATTTAATACCACAGAATCCTAATAATATCTATGCTTGTACTAAAATGCCAAGGCATATGAGTTCTAGTGTAAATACGTTCCGATATAATTTACCTTATACTGGTTTATTCGGAGGAGCAATAGCATTGACTCGCAAGCAATTTGAAAGAGTTAATGGCTTTTCAAATGTCTTTTATGGGTGGGGTGGAGAAGACGATGACTTTTATAGTCGTCTACAATCAAGGGGACTTCAAGTAAGCTACTATAAGATAATTTTTACTGCTTTTCTCTCTATGATAATAATCTAATGACAATGATATTCTTAACAGATCACACGGTTTGGGCCTGATATAGCACAGTATTATATGATAAGTCATAAGAAAGAATCACCTAGTAGTGCAAGATTTGCAAATTTAGAAAATGCTGCCAGAAGATATGATACTGATGGCATTAGCAATCTTGAATACAGTGTATTAAATCATCAGCTACGACCATTGTATTCTTGGATATTAGCTGATGTTTAATTTTAACTTTATATCCATTTTTTATATAATCTTTACAGTTTTTTTCTGCTGTACTATCTACATTATTCAATTTCATCAATATAATGAAATGTCACTAGGTGTAGTTATAGTTTATGTTTATGTTGTACATTTACAAATTTACATACAGTGGGTGTAGAAAGTATTAATTGTGAGTAGAAAATGACTGGTAGATATTAACAAATAGTATATATAAGATTTAGAATTGTATATATGTTTTACAATTATCGTATTGACAGTGTGAAATATTGTCATTTCTTACATTACATGGTATGATCTTGGAGTCTATATTGTATTATCATGTCCATATACTCATAGTTTCGCAAAGAGATCGTGCTTGTGGAATTTTTAAGTTAAACAAATAAATAAATTATGTGATAGATAAATATATATTATTAATATATTATTATAAATATTTAAAGTGAGAATGTAAGTGGATAGTGTGCAGTATTTGTATGTATCTAACAAACATTTAACAATTTAAATCTTGAATTTTTAAGCGACTAAGCACTTTTTATAGAAATATAATTTATATTAATAGCATAAATATGTAAGTTAAACAAATAGCGATTGCAATTAAATTATTCTGTATCTATAATATCAAAATATGTGTAAAGCAATAATTATACTAGTTTTTTATATTTTTAAGAAAGCAATTAAACAACACATTTTTGTATATAGAACTGGAAAGCATAACAAAACTTTCACGAGCATTTATAACTTTTAAGAATTTATATACCAATTGTGATATTATTTTTTTAAATAATCAAACATTGTCAATAAATGGCTTCAGTTACAAAAAGTTAATGATATTTTTGATTTTTTAATTTACTATTTAATTTATACATATATTATTTAAAATACTACACATAACTAAAATATGATAGTCCGATTTGTAGTATTTAAAAAAATTAATACTATATAAAAGATTCTAAAACTAAAGCTACAACTTAATGATACAGCAGTCGATACAAAAATTGTATTTCGGACTTCATTTTCTTTTATATTATTATTAAATGTATAAATTTTAATTTCATGGATATGTTACATTTATTTACGAATTTATGCTAAATCTTTTAGAAGAATTTTTATGATATCTAAAAAATTTATATTATTTTTAATTATATTTTACTAGACTGTTACTGCTTTAAAAAAAGCATAAATAATTTGAAAAATATACATACATATATAAACAAGGGTACCAATTTTAATATACAAATATAATTATTTATGGTAATTATTTTCTGTGGAACGGATATATCGTGTAAATCAAGGAATGGGTGTATGGTAGAACCTTAATTATCCGTACTGATCAGGGGAAAAGAGTGTTTTGGCTTAACATTAGAGCAACTAAGAAGAATACAAATTACTTATAATCATTACTCATTTTCAGTATTTCTTTTGTTTTTAAATTTTGTCTTAGAATTAGTTTTTCTAAAATAATAATTAATTAATATATATAAATATATATAAATAATAATTTCTAAAATATAAATAATTAATTTTGTAAATTAATTTCTTTTTTTTATATGAAGCAAATCACATGAAGCAAAGAACCTAAGACTTTCATATTTATAGTTCAAAAAATGGAGATTTGAATTTTCCTCAAAAAACAATAAGCAGAAATAGATTTGCTGAAATTTTCCGGATAATTCATTTTGATAAGCAAAATGAAAGAAGCCAATGATTGCAAACAAACTTGTATTAGTTTCAAAAATGTGGAATAATTTCGTTGAAAATAGCCAAATATGTTATAAACCAGGAGTTGCCATTATAGTTGATGAACAATTATTCCTGACCAAAACCTGAATAGACTTACATATATGCCAAACGAGTCGAAAAAGTTTAGTATAAAATTCTGGTCGACGTCGGATGTGAAAAGTAAAAATGTTGTAAATGCATTTTCCTATCTAAGAAAAGACAGAGTGAATGATTATTGTTATTATATTATAATTATTATTTAGTTTATATTTAATTTTCTCTTGTAAAATAAGAAAATTAATAAAAATACATAAAATACTGTCTTTTCTTAAGTGACTTATTAATTTAAAAAATAAATTATTTAAACTTCTCAGGTAGAAATAGGTATACAATTGTCCTAATGTTAAGAAAATATTGGAATAATAAAATAAATATATTCTGACTTTGATTTTCATATTTGTGCCCATAATTTAAATATGTTTAAATATAATTTTGTATATATTTTTAAATAAGAGATATGTGACTTAAATCACTTTCATAATTATGGGTTCATATGTATTTCATATGCATTGATTTTTTATAAACTTCGAGATAAAATTCGTTCATCATGCACAAGTCAATGTTATCATTCTTATTTAGAATTTAGAGGAGGATTAATGTAAATAGCGATAACATGTAAAATGTGTTTGGATAACAGAGTGTAATTGGATAATTACTACATAGTAGAGTATTTGAATAATCGAGGTTCTACTGCATATAAAAACAAGACATTATGTTTAGCAATATTTCGCAGTATATTTATTATTTTGTCTAGTTTACCATTTCATACACATTGTGGATAGTAAATTAAAAAAATAAGGTTAAATTGTATAATAGCTTAGAAGAGACGTTTACATATATAACGAAAATTGTTAATCCATAATCCTAAACTTTGATAAGACTTGTAAAAAGAAAGATTAATGTACATATCCCTTGTGATTGTACTGTGTAATAAATATAATTATGTTACTTATTTACGAAAATTTTACTTAATACAGAACATTATTATGAAGTTATGAAGTTCGATGTATTATGGGTAAGTAATAACTATTTAAAATGATTTTTAAAAAATAATCTTAGTGTTAATAAAGGAAAAATCATTTAAACTAAATTATAAGTAATTTTTGAAATAGCATTATTATTATTGTTACTATTAACACTCTTCTCAATGCATTTACCATATATTAAAGGAAGAGTTGGCTCAATTTGTACATATTATGAAGATATTTCTTAATATTTTTTTAGTTTAAAGTTGGAATATCCAGATTTAGATAAAGACTAATAGACTCGATATAATCGTATGATCTATTGATACTAAACTGTATATTTTATTTTTAGGTATCATCACATTTTATATAATCGACACAAAAATTGTCGTATCATTATCAATAAAGTTTAGAGAATGTGGTACGGAATTCCATCAAAAGTTAATCCTAACATGATTGTGATTAAAGGTGTAGAAATATTAAGTATGAAAAACATTATTGATTATTATAAGTTTAATAAGGTGCCATTGCATAAATAAAATTGTTTATTGTTATTAATAGTTGTATTATATTTCTTATAATAGAGAATTCATTATTTTCTGTCAAGTGATTATTGTTCTTCAGTTATTTTGTCTATCAATAAGTATATATGAAATAATCATGGCCTTTGACGTGAAAAATAATGAATCTTCACCAAACTAAATGTAATCTTAAAAACCGATTATTACTATGCAGTTTCCGGCATGTTCAATGCTTATCAAATAATGTGAATATATGTAACTATATATCATATCTATGTAAAATATGAATACAAGTTTATATATATATATATATATATATATTTTATATATATATAAAATCTATTTAACAATACTTGACGTATTACGTGTCGGATAGTTCCTGATAACGAGCATACATCATTTTCTTTACACAATCCTTATACGTATCTCCAGGTAGAGCACTATAGGATGATGATTTAGCTCCTAAACCTGCGGTAGGAACTCGTCTTTCTGCTTCAATGATACTCGTTCTACCTTGATTTGATTTTCCAAGACCCATTCCTTCGCTCCATCCCATCTTTTGTAATAACTTATTGCCAACATTATCCGAACCAATGCCTGTTCTTGTAGGTTCTTCATACGAAACAGATATGTCTTCCACTCTGGTTTTTAAATACTTTTCTTTTAATTTATTAGGTTGTGGTGGCTCCGGTTCGCCATATTTAGCTCGCCTTTCCTTAGCTCTATCCCGATATTTATTATTTCTTTGTTGAGGATCGTTCGGATCTAAACCACGCACCTGATACCAATTTTCTAAGTTTTGCTTATGAAGATCTGACAATTGTTGATGTCGAAGCAACGCTTCTTTACTTGGGAATTGTCGTTTGCAAAGCAAACAAGCTAGTTTGCTCCAATCCGTATGTTGCCTTTCTTCTTGTTGAACATCCTCAATTTCCTCCTCTGTGTCACTTCCACCACCATAAGCAGCTACTAAACCATTACTTCCACTGGGATCTTCTTCTTCGTGATATGAATTTGCTAGAGCTTTCTTTTCCAGTATAGCATAACCAGCGTCAGCGGCTCCACTCCCTATACCTTGATTACCATCGCCTCCAGTGAATTCTGAATTCCAATTACTTTTAGCATTTTCTTTTTTCTGATTTAACGTTTTTGCCCACCGTTCCATGTCCTTTGCTATTTTCTTAGCAACTTTTACTTTGTCTTGTTTACTATCTTTTTTCTTATTTTCATCTTCTTTCAGTACATCATGAGTTACTGTTGTTGATGATGGGGTAGCAGCTTGAGTAACGACTGTAGTAGCTGAATCGGTACTGCTAGCGGTTGCTGTTATTGTAGTTCCACTCGTAGTAGCAGTACCTGTTGCTGGGGTAACGCTTGCGGTTGTCTAAAAAATATGAATAATGTAAATATTACTAATATATCGAGTCTGTTTATAATTTTATATAAAAAAATAAATTACCTTTGCTGGTTGGTAGGAGAATGATTCTGCATCCCAATAAAGAAATTGTTGTGTGTGGCTATTATAATAATATTGTGAGTTAGGGTCATAATATAATCCTGTACTTGGATCATAATAATAACCCGAAGATTCGTCATAATGATAGGTGCTAACATCAGGCACCGAATAAACTTTTCCATCATTTGCATGGGCAGGAACCCTTCCACTTGCTAAAGTTGTACTAGTTGGTGCGGTAGGAGTTGGTCTGCCCTTCATTTCATCTGGATCGCCTATTTTTCTAGATGCTTGTAGCTGTTGGATAGCAGACTGAGCTACTGCAGCAGCTGCATTTACTCTGTCCGTTTGGTTCAATGAAGGTAATGTAATAGTCGTTCCTTGCATTATCTGATTTTGATAGTACTGTGTATAATACTGAAGATAATGAGCTTTTTGTGCTGGTGTTTTAGCATATAAATTGGCGCTATATTCTGCCAATTGAGCTACATCATCTAAGGTATACCTTTGCGATTGATTATCATTAGATTTCCATGCATTAGTGTTATTAATCTGATGTAACTTGCAATATGCAATTTCTACTTTCCTGCCATCAACGACTAATCCTTGCTTTGTGAGCGCTGTATGTAAATACATTGCATCCACAACGTTACCCATTTCTAAATAACAAACACCTCTTGACGTATTTGTAAGAGAATCACGTCCAATGCGTATACTTCTAATTGGCATTGACGACAAATTTTTCATTGCTTGAAGAACCGAATCTTCGGTGGTTAATACATCCAATCCTCTAAGGAGAACAGTATTGGTAGGATGTGGACTAATCTCATCGCTACCTTCTCCACCTTCTTCACTCTCTGCCCTTGAAGCAGAACATTTGAAACACGTTTCACGTCTTTTAAAATTGTGTGCTCCACACTGCAAAATGTTGATAAGACAAATTTATTACATATATATATATATATATTTTATAAACTTTTGCAATGAAATTAATATGCACACCTTT